AAAAGTTGGCTATCTACCCCACAGATCACGGACGCAGATTAATCACCGAATCTCGGGAAAGGCTTACGTCAATCACCGGATAGTTGAACCCATTTAATGATCGATTACTTTGAAGTGCTACTTTGGTGACTCAGATCTTTCATTACAGAATTACTGGGCGATAAAGCTGCCTCTCTAACCCGATAATTGCAGAGCATCTCAAACAGACTGAATATCCAATCAGCCAATTTTGCACTAGTTATTCTCTTTCACAATCGTCAATCCTATACTAGTGGTGCCAAAAGATATCCCCGTTACCTGTGACTTGTTGATCGACTTTTTGTATAATCTCGTTGCTGTTATTCTCTCTTTTTTCAGTAGCGATCTATCCTACGTTTTAATTTCTTCATTCGATTGCATACAAAAGAAATCTTGATTGTAGTAAGCGAATGTATAGCACCACAAAAGAGTATTGGCTACAGCCACAATTCAATGATCTATTTATCTCCGTTTAACTACAAGACGTGAAAATAGTGTTCGCATTTTCTATAGACCACTAGGTAGGCTTCACGTCATACTTTATCTTTCAAACACTTTGTAATGTAGTGCAAATTAGGATATAAAAAACGCACGTTCAAAGGTATCTCCCGCCGAAGCAGGTCTCCGAGCGACATATTACATTGAAGATTGTGTCTTCCATTCGGTTAAACGCCATGAATGTCCTATCGCGATTAGCAATAAATCATGGATTTGGCAGACCATACTGTAAGCCGCTAGGTCATTTCACTAACCAGATTAGTGTGAGACCTTATACCCATCACTATTTATATAATGAACTTGAAGATCAGTTAACTGATGAATAACTCCACGGTTTGAAGTCATTAGAACTTGCATGTTTGAGGTCAAATGCAATGGTTAACCAATTGGACTACCTACGGAAGGATTCTGTGATAACAATCCACATAATAGGTGTCATGGTTGGTCTCACAGATTGATTTGAGAAACTATCACTTTGAATAGAGAAAGAAACACTGTGGTTGGATCCGCTTCCGTTCAGCGCACCTCATTGGTCAACTGATCAATCCCGCGCCCTTTCTGTGTTGAAATGAGGCAAACCTCAGCCTTGCATTTTGTCGAGCTCGATTAGGTGGGTTAGTGAATTCATGCGATTTGTGCGAGACAGCGAAATTAGACCCGACCTATTTCGAGCACACAACAGTTAAAGTACAACTGATCGTAATGGCTCGGACACTGACGAATAGCGCAATCACCAAAGATTACTTCAGTACCTAACACCATTGACGCGTTTTGTGCTTACGGTGTACCCCGAGCGATGCATTTTTCATTACGTGAATCACAGGTCTATTTGAATTGTAACATTTATTCAGCGGCATGGGTTGAAGCTATTGAGGTGAACTTGGGTGACTGAGGTGCTTTTCATTAATGACCTAGCAACCACAACCAGTTATATCTTAACTACTGCTGCTCGACCATTATTGGCGCAACCCGGAGAACCGATCGAAACAACGCAGTCGATTCGTTTGATAAAAAGAGTTACACGTTGTCAGAACAAATATTGCTGCGTAAAGAACATCGACAAATTACATAACACAAGAGCTGAATTTTTTCACAAACTCGCAGTTAGCAAGCAGGCTGGGCGAACAAGTAATGACCACTGTAGAGACGGAAGCGGAGATCCGAAAGGAACTCCAAGCCCTGAAACGCCACAAGGCAGCCGGATCTGACGGCCTGCCACCTGGTGGAGAAGCTCTCGAAAGAGAACTTGTTCTCGAAGATCTGGCAAACTGAAAGTGTACCCCACACATTGGGAGAATCGATTGTCACACACATCTACAAGATGGGCTGTCGCGACGCCTGTTCCAATCACAGGGGCATAAGTTTGATTCCAATAGCACCGACGCTGCTGGTGTCCGTTTTATTACGCAGGTTATGCCCATTCCATGAGAAGCAAATCCGCGAGGAGCAGTTCGGGTTTCGTGTACGCCGGGGCTGCATAGATCGAATCTTCACCCTCAGTCAGCTACTAGCACACCACCGCGCATACAAACGGTAAACAATTGTCGTGCTTTTAGACATCAGAACGGCTTTCGACTCTATTGATTGTCCTGCACTGTGGAACTGTTTACGAAGATACGGAGTACCCGAGAAGTATGTCTCACACCTAAAAGCGCTCTATAACCAGACCTCGGGGAAGGTTAGGGCCTATGGTGAACTTTCACCCTCATTTCCTGTCACCAGTGGGGTGCGACAGGGTTGCCGTATCTCTCCGTTTCTCTCAACTTTGCCATAGATGACATCCTACAAAACGCGTTACATAACTTAGCGAAGGTTGGCGTCGAGCTTCTTCCTGGAGACAGAGTCGTAGACTTAGAGTATGCCGATGATATTGCCTTACTGGATAACAACGCGCCAGCGATTCAAGAGTCGTTGAACCGTTTGGCAATTGAGGTTACTCGCTATGGTATGTTATTTGCACCTTCAGTGTGCAGTGTTGTTGCAAGATTGGCAGGAACCTAT